GCTGCAGATGGAAACCACAGCTAAATTGATCCTGAAACAGAACTGATTTCAAAGGATCAGTCTGGACTGCAAACTTCACCTGGCAGCAGAGGGAGGCAGAAGCCGGAGACGCCAATGGATAGTCCTGCTCTGCCATCTGGTGCTAGAGCTGCGCCCTGGCAGGTTGCTGCATCTTCTGCCACTATCCCCAATCTTGGGATTAAGGCTGCTGGCACTGAGAGCAGCTCCTGTCAGTGCCACAGGGATTCTATCTAGGAACTTGGGAAATATATACACCACGCTACCAAATATAGCAGTCAAAGATTTAAAACCCTGTATGACTTCTAATATTAATAAATGTTTTTTGCATAGGACAACTGTGGTGGCTAAATCATGTCCTAGAAGTAACAATTGTTTGCAAAGAAGGAACTATTAATTTGCCCTTTTTTAATATCCATAATTATTTTCATTCTCAGTGTCTAAATCTAATATCGATCAAATTCAAACTCCCATTGGTATCTAATCTGGTATGTTTTTCTAATGTGATCTAATGTGGTATGTTTTTCATCTCTTACCTCCTCAATACTTCTATTTTACCTTTTTACATGAGGCAGGACTTTCTGCAGTCACAAGCCAAGGCACTGCTCATATGCTGTGTGCACTAAGGATTCATATTTTAAATGTTTGGAAGTGGATTCTCAGCAATCCTGGAAGGAAACCATGCAGAGAACCAAAAATACTCAGCAGAAAGGGCCAGCTTCCATCTCCAGGTAGATACCATTGGGAAAAATGTGGAAGAGCACCTCTAACCTGTTTGGGTGCCCTGCTTCCCCACACCCTTATTCCTTATTCCTCCACCCTGAAACCATGACCCTGCCTTATGATGATGTATCCTGATGATGTGACCACCACTAGAGTCTCTGCAGTAATATTGATACTGAAAAGCAGAGCAGGAACCGAGCAGCACTGCCCCCAGCAGGGGCAGTGGGTACTGGGCCTATGGGGGCACACATTGCTGTATAGGCCACGCACAGGTTGCTGACTTCACTCAGGCAACAGCTACAGGAGGGTGGCAGGGAAATCAACTAAGGCAAATCAGAAAGGCACGTCACTTCAGAGCACTTTTGGTACCTTCAGAGCACGTGAATCACTGCAGATACCCATTAAAACTTATTTGGACTAAATGTTCACACTAGGATATATATGTTTGGGGGTACTCTTAACCCAAAGAGACTCCCTCCTTGGCATTTTCATGCTACGGAAGCATTACAGAATAAAGCAAACCAGCAATCAAGCAATTGAGCCCCGGCTGACCTCCAACAACTCGGGTCCTCCTGGGTCCTCCAACAACTTACTGTGAATTATTTCGATAAGCCACAATCTCTGGGGCAGCTAAAAAACAATGACTCATTTGTTCATGTAAATCAGGCAGACCAGGCATTCTGGAATGACCAGCATGTCCAGGCATCCAAGAAGAAATCTCTTTTGGCATCACAGACAAACTGCCCTTCACAACTTTTATCTTTCTCTAAGGGAAATCAGAAAGAAACAGTCTAATTCTCAGCCATTTAAGGACTGACTGTGCAGAGTACGTGCTGATTAGCCTGAATCAATAGTAAACACCCTCAGTGCAGGTGTTTGGGACTCCCTGAACAGCAGGCTTATTAGGCAGGCAGCCAACAGAACCGGAAAGCAGGTAACGAACGCTGCTCTGTGCTCGCTTGTGGGTGTGCACACATTTACCATCGGTTTACTCAGAGCTAGCATGAATCACAAACTAAAACTTGATAAGGGAGCCTACAGCCACCTACAAGCCTCCTTTCATGGAAATGTGATGTGTATTAGTTACATGGTTGGTTATCTCAGGAAAAAGAACGTAATTCAGAATGAGCTTAAAGAATGTTTCACTTGCAATATACTTTCTGTAAGCCCCTGGCCAATAGGCCATAAAAATTTAAATGGTATTTCTTCTACTTACTTTATTTTAATGGCGAAACATAGCAGTACAGATATTTTTAACAGCACCAACCTTGTAAGTATTCCAGAATTTTGCTAAGAAAAACCCAACAACCACAAAAGAGAAAATGAGAAAAAAAATAAAAGTGCAGCTGACGTGACCCAGAACTGTCCATGGCCCCGCTCCAAACATGACACTAGACTAGATGGAAGAAGGAAGGGCACCTTCAAGGTCCTTCCACCAACATTTCTATGAACTGGTTTAACTGATCATAATTTATGTTGGAAGTACTGGTATTTCACAAAGGAGTTGTCCTGTGGAGTGTGCAAGGCCTATGCATTCACTCTGCATTTGTGAGCCTCTCCAGGGAGCCTTGTTTTTTTACCATAAGCAGTGGCTCTGTACATGAGAACTTGTGACGTGTCCTCAGCTCAGCCAAACTCCATCATTCCACTCTTGGGAATAAGCAAGCTGCTTCCCCCCAGCCCCCATATGCCTTCATTGCAGAAATAGCCACAGCTAATTTTATCATAGGGAAAAACTTGGTTCAGCAAATCCTGCCTCATGCCATAATCATGAAACAGTATCTACAGTAACATACTAACACATTCTGTAGTACACATTTCTACTCAAAGTATCCAAGAATTTAGCTTCAAAAAAAGCCAATTTCAACTTGAAAGACCCTTTAGCTTCTAATTTTTGCTTATGAACAATATCCACATAAATAACATTTTCAGGTTGTTCCAAGCTGCAGTGATTAAGCAAAAGAATTGACCAGAAAAACAGAACATCTGCTGTGGGTCTATCCCTAATTCATGTCATACCATGTCCAACTTTCATAAAACAGACTTCTAACTCTAGGAGTTTTGTTCTTTTACTTTGCACTTATCAATTGCCAATTAAAGGCACCATTTAGCATTTGCTGCTGATATTCCACAGAACAGCTGCTGGCTGACAGTAAAGACCAACTTCTTGGAAGGCCAACGCTCTGAATGAGCACAGCAGAAATGGAGCAGGCAAACAGGATTATATCGCACCCTTGCAGTGGGAGGGGGAAATAAATCAGGCAGCACAGCCTTGTGAGGAATTACAGGTCATTCACTTTCCGAATCTATCCCTGGCCTAATTAAGCTGCATTTCTACTGTAATGCAGGCAAACTGCCAGAAGTGAGGAAGTAAAACCTGCTTTCAAGTAACTTCTGCCCAAAACAGAAGCACTTGAGCATAAATGGAGCTTGAGGAGCAGTGCTTGGTCAGGGCTTGAATTAGCATTACAGAATTCATAACTAGACTGTTAACAGAGCAACATCTAAGGGTTGGATGTGTTCCTTTCCTTCTTTTAGTGCATCCCTCCTTACAGACTTTACTTCATACTCGTACAAGTATCACACGTATTTCCTTTTGAGGTCACCACAATTAGTGCACCACTGTTAAAAACAGTATTTGGAGAAAATGCGACTTAGAGCCTCATGACAGCCCCTTGCTGCTGTTTCTATTTCACAGCAGGCCCAGAGGCAGGCAGCTCCCCTCAAGAGCCGCCTGTTATCAGCTGCCTTCTCTGGAGGCTCTCATCGCAACAGCCAAAACAGGGTTCAAGGAGACCATGTCAATAGGAGAAAAATATGACCACTGAAACGATCTTAAACTTGGCCAACCAAAATAATGTTTTCCATTACTACACATAGGGTTACCTGCCAGGAAACAGCTGTTCCTGTCTCTTGTTTTATCAAGACTCTGTAGTAACAGTGCAGAGTTTTCAGGGCAAACAGGGTTGTGAAGAGAAAGTTTCAACTAGCAGCAATGCTCTTCCATATAGCTATCTCCAAATTCTGCCTTCTCTTTGGAAAAGATAATTGTCATAATATAGCCAGTATTTTTAAAAAGGGAGGAACAAAGTAACATTGTTAAATATGATACAACTGACATTTTAAACAGTCATTGGAAGATGCTACAAAAGAAAAAAATAAACTTTGGGTGTTGCTTGTAAGAGAGCTTGGTGCACTTCCTTGAGTCCCCTACCTTCAAGTTAAAAAGTGCAATCTTTTAAGAAACTGTAAGACCACTACACAAATAAAAAATGACATATACAAAGATCAGGCAGCCTGACTGAAGAGAGTTCAGCTGGACATCTTTTGGCTCAGTTTTTGTTCCTCCTACATTGGTTCAACAAATAACTTGTGCACTTGGTGTAGATGAATCTCTCTTCAGTTCTACAGAATAAGGATTTGCTATAGAAGAAAGATGACCATATTAGTCTTTAAGGAATATGAAATCCATAAGCAAATACACACATCTAATGGAAACTGGAGCATAAACACCCCAACAGGCAGATGTCCAAAAATGAGTCATAACACACAGTTTCCTGCCAAGTCATTCATGATGGTCTTCCAAGAATCAGGAAACACCTTGCCTTGCACTGACATCACCTTTTGGGCACTGTACACCTATTCTGAGGTACATAAAAGGATTCCCCCCACGCCAGGATGCTAGGAAACATCAAGAAATTCTGCTGCTTCCCTCAAAACCATTTCACTAGCCAGAACCACTCTCCATCAGTGAAATCAGTAGTTATTTGTCCATGAACATTTGCATTAAATTTTTCTTCTTTTTATCATTACCTACACAACATGGATTCAGCCTTCGCAGGAACCCAGTAGCCAGATTCAGTAGCAGCCCTTCCAGATCTGCTTTAGGGAGCAATGGATAGATCATACAGGAAAATGCAGAACAAGACACTGCGGATCAAAATTTGTGTGTCTAGACACTGTCAACAATCCAATTATACTCAATTTCAGATATGCCTCAGTTGTTAATAAAGAGACATGCAAATTTCTAATGGAGAGGCAGAAAACACAAAGAAACTGTGACGCAAAATCCTCTGCTTCTTAGGTAATACCAGGCTCAACTGTTCTAATTTGTAAATTGGTTTGTGTAGCAGAAGACACTCATTCTGATGAGATTCTGATCACTGCTCCCAAAAGAGAAGCATTCCCCTTTTCAGAGACATCCTGCTAAGTCATTCTGATAGGCAAAATTTTCAGTGACTGAGCAATGGTCCATGGGATGACAAGCAGCAAAAACATTTTATTTGCTGTACAATTAGTGTCATTAGATTTGAATCATTAGATATGTATTTGTATCAATAGATATGATTTGTAAATAAACAACATGCAAGACCACATAGTAAGGAAAACTTAATACAACCAAAGAGCACTGGAGAGCTGGTAGTGGTGAGACTTAATAGAAAACAAAGTTTTAAAGTCTTTCAAAGTTTTGGACAACAGCAACTTCCTTCGACCTCAATAGATAAGTCACAGACCTACCTACTACTTTGCATCAGAGTCTCCTCTTCAACCCTTGTCAGACTGAAAGGATAAAATTACTCAAATGCATTGTAGAGTGAAGAGAAAACTAAGCACGTAAGATCACGATCTGTTCATACCAGGTAACAGCTTACATGCAACTGTTCTGCACATGCAAATGCATAAAACTTACGCAAACAACTTGATTATCTTCTCAAAAATCATTTCAAATCATAACAATGCTTCACTTAGTTTAATTCTTGTACTTTTTAAGAGTTATTAGAAGTACTTTTTAAATAACATGATCCTCCTCCTTCAAACAGGAAATATCTTTAATCTTTCATACAGAATTTCTTCTGACATTGAAATGACCAGACATTCTTAATTCAAAGAAGTCACAAGGTGTTTCTGAAGCAAGAAGTTGCCATGACAGTTATTTGTAAACATTAAACCCACAACAGTAAATACATCAAAACCCCACACTTCCATCCTAAAATAAACCACAAAGCTTTGACAGGAAATACATAAAAAGTTTATTATGTATGAACCCCATTTCATTATCTGGAGGAGAAAGTCTGAGGCGACAGTTTGGTGCAGTACAGAGAAGCAAAGCAATATACAGTAGCTGCACACAGCATGATTGATTTCAGGTAACAACTAAATATTCTTACTATGACCATTAGTACAGAAATGTTCTGTAATTAGAAAAAATGAGAAGTATTACTCTCATGCTGTACAATCTCACGTTTCTTGGTTAGAAAAGAACAACTGATTGAGTTTGAATCTTTCAAGCCACCTCACTAGGCTGTTGCCTCTGGAATGTTCAGCACAAAGGTTAAGCTCCAGACATAATTTAAGTGCTTTTCATGTGCAAACTGTTACTGGCTAAAGCTTTCAAAGTACATTTGAAATTACAGATATGAACACCCTGTAAAGATGAGGATATGATAGAAGACCCAGAGGACAATAAAGATTCTTTAAAAGAAATGCTATGTTCCACTGCAGTAGTTCTAGTCCCTGATTAGGTCCTTCCAAAGAGGGCTTATTTCACTGGTAGGAGATAGACCACTCTTTGACAGAAGCATCATGGGATGTTGTTACCAGAGTGTGTTCATCCAGCCAGGCCAGGCCGCTTACGTGATGTAGTCTGTGAGCATCTGCAGGGCAGTGCAAAACAACAGCAGAGGGTTAGGAAGGCCGAGCTGACACAGTATCTTTAGGACACACTAGCATTTCAGTCACATTAAATGCTAGTATGAGTATACAAGATATATTTTATGAAATACAAGAATGTGACAGAAGTTCTAGCTATTTTAGCTAGATAGGTCGAGATTAAGGCAGAGTTAGTTTGCAAACATTCAAAAAAATGGATTGTGGCCTACCATTGATTTACCATTTAGTTCTGGAAAATATGTACTATGTTACATTTCAAGAATGACTATCAGTTTTCCCAACAGATTTTGAAGCAAACATACCTGGTATCTTGACTCTGGTCTCTGGATCGCTTACGGTCCAAACATAGACCATCATGTCCATGCCTCCAGAAGCAAAATGTTCATTGTCTGGTGACCAGGCAATACAAACAACTTTTGCATGGTGTCCATAAAAGACATTATATTCCTATTTCAAAGCAAACAGGAATAGGTTATTACATTCATTTAAGGCATTTGAAGTAAACACTGGCTTTTAGCATACAGCATAAAAACAAACACTAAAGTCCTGCAAGACTCCAAATATTGTATATCTCAAGTGTAGGCTGTGGTTCCAGGCAAAGTAGTTTTGCAATGTGTAGAGCACAACTGACTACAACAGAGCTCTTTCAAAGCTTCATTTTATGCCACTCATTTAAACACAAGTGGGATTAACAAAATCCAAACTTTTTGGTAAAAAAAAAAAAACAGGACAGTTTATAAGAAAACTGAGCTGGTAAACTGCAGATGCAGCAATCACTCAGAAGCCTTTAAGAGGACTCAACAAATACTTCCAAAAGCAAAATTCCTTCAATTTGGAAAATGGAAGTATTTTTCTGGAATACCACCTTGTATTTTTCTTTTCAGTGTGGTCTCAGTCAAAGCCTAAGCGACTTTAAAAGCTGAGTTGCATATTTACTATTCAGCTAGAAACTGGAAATTGCCAGTTACTTGGCTCTTGATTAAAAGACAGTAGATAAAAGGATGGAGCAAGATTCTCCGTTCCTATAGTAGCCCTTTCCCTGCCTAGTCCTCACCATATTGCTATAAGCCACAGTCAAACTCTTACTGTCAAGTCTTAGTCTTGCTTACTTCATTAGTTTTATTGTACTGTATAGGTTACATTGATCAGATTAAGCCTACAATTCTTGTCCATTTTGCAAAAGTGCATGCTAGACAGAACCCCCAAATACACAGCAGTGGCTCTAACAGATGTAATTAAGATCATTACAAAAGATTGTAAGTCCACATATGCCTAAAAAAAAAAAAAATAATAATAATAAAATCACACAATTGGTAGAGCAGTTCTTACCGCATAGCCATCAGTGACACTGAAGACGGTGACAACCTTGTTTGCGTCACAGACTGCAAGAAAGGCACCATCATGAGAATATGCCAGGTCAGTGACAGGACCTTTAGCTTCCAAAGTCTTCTCATTTTTCAAAGAGGTTCCTTGGATTGAATACAAGTAGACATTTCCATCCTACAAATTAAAAGTGGAGAAGAGGGAAAGAAACAAAAAACCACTTTGAGACAGGACGGTTTATTGAGCTACTAGGGCTCTTTCACCAACTCCATCTGGTACTATTTACATAGGGAAATAGTTTAAAGAAGCTCTCATTCCTACTAGCTACAATTCACCATGTCTAGAATATAATACGGATTTCCAGAACTTGGGCAAAATTCTGCAAAATGCCTATTTCATTTACTATCGAGTGGAAACATTAACAATTTAAAGACTACAAATATAAATGACAAAAAAAATCAAGAGTATGTTAGCAGAGCCATAATGGTGGTAGAATCTGGGGAATGAAAGCTCATGATTTGTATTTACACATAACTTACTTATTGCAGTACTGCTGCTACTGTGTTAAGACTTAGTAGCTGAGAGTTGTCACAACAGACCTACTCTTGTTGAATGCTACCGTGCTTAGCTCAAGCGCCACAGGAGTTGCACAGAGCGCAGCCTTACCGCTCCTCCCACGGCCGCTGTGCCTCCTCCGGGGTGAACGGCTACCGCCTCCGGCTCATAGCTCAGGTCGGCGATTGCAAAACATTTTTTCTTATCTTTCATCAACACAATCTGTGAATAGAGAACCAGAAACTACGATAATGCTTCTTCCAAATGCCTAATAAATGACTATGACTTAGCTATGTTGCTTAATCATAAATAAAAATCCATTCTGCTCAAAGGTTTAAAGGTTTATGGCATTTTGACCCACAGCAAACCAACACCGATCCACTATAAAAATAAAAAAAGGAGGAGGAGGGAGAAATACATGTGTGTGGTCACTAGCTAATCCTGCTGTATTGCAGTGCTTGGGAGTACTCTAAATTAAGTAGTTGAGGATACGCTCTGTTGCATTCAGCTTCACCTTGCTTGGTCAGAACATAAAAGCAGCAGACAAAGCAGTGTTTTTAGCAACACCTACTACCTTCCTGGTTAACTCTTAGGGAGAAAGGAAGCAGGGCCAAGATTGCAGGCAAGGTAATCCTGAAATGCAGCATTAAGAGCCATCTTCATCCAGCTCTACCTAATGAACAAGTGGAGTTGTAACTCACAATGAAAAACACATTTGGCCAACACACTAAAATAACCCTGATGACACAAGTCTCTAGTTCTGCATGATCTGAATATTACTGAATATCCTAGACTCAGAGCCAAGATCCACACAGAAGGTAAAATTCATCAGAAGTTAAGCATGCTTTGACACTAAAATAACCCTGATGACACGAGTCTCTAGTTCTGCATGATCTGAATATTACTGGCAAGCAAGCTAGAGATATTGACGCTGTTGTTGGTTAGTTGAAAACAAAAAGAGAGAGAGAGAGAGAGAGAGAGAGAGAAAGAAAGAAAAACAGAGCTGAGAAACTCTCTCCCCAAAATTGCCTCACTGAATATATCAACTAAGAGCATTACTTGGAGATTAATATGCTTGTACAAGCATATTTGCCGATTCCCATCGTCTACTGAAAAGAAATAAGAAATAAAAATCACTTGCATAATATGATTATACACATATGTAATATGTGCACATAAATCTGTATCAGAAGTGTGAAACACTTAAAAAACCCATACATTCTTATAAGTCACTTTACGTAAAAGATGCGCAGTGCATTTATTGCACCCCAATTACATGACAAACAAAGTTACTGTTCCCACTTTATCCTTTTCTACTTTCCCCTTTTTTGGTTCCCTCTCTCCAAGAAGGAAAGATATATGGAAAAGGTAAGGGAACCAGGAACAATAACCTGGAAAAAGCAGTAATTCAAAGGTTGCAGGAGCTCGCTACTCTTTACAGTCAATCACTGTGACGATATATTTCAGAAGCACTTGAACCTACAGCTTAAAGAACATCTACTTTTTTATTTTTAAATTCAGCAGCCCTAGCAACCCAGCAGGTAAAGAGTTTTCTATACAGATTTAGATCAGTGCAGCCTTCTAGCACAAAGCTAGACTGACCACAGTAAATACAGGTGCATCTAGATCAGGGACTCCACAAACGTAAAGTCTACAGATAAAACAGTCGAATGGATACAAGAAGCAAGACAAAGCTGTAACAAGCATCTTGCTTAGTTATATTCTCATAGGCTTATTAATAAGTCTCCCATGAGCATGAGGTGATCACACACTATGCAACTTTCCATCACAGTTACCATCATGTTACTGTACACACTACATTATCTAACAGAACATTTGTACTGCTAATCCATGAGCTTATACTCACTTGTCCAATGCATGAAACTACAGTATATCCACCAGGACCAACAGCTAAACATTTTGGTTGAACATCCATTTTCACAGAATCCTGGCCACTGGAGGAAGGCGGTGAAATAAGAAGACAAAACAGAATAAATTTTTCCATGTTTATTATTTTAAAATGGCTATTTAAATAGTCATCCCTAACGACCTTCAAGAAGTTGCATAATTTAAAGGTTTCTTTAGTAATCTGCATTCTCCTTGTGTTTACTCTTTAGAATGTCAGTATCTTGATAGAGTAGTATACCTTAGAAATAAAAATCACTGTCACTATGTGGAAGTCTGCTTTGAGTTTATCTAGGTGTTCTTAATACTTTTTTTTTTTTTTGCTTCCATTGTGATTTCTGTGAAGAAACAGCCACATCCCACCTGTCCTAACCACACATTTAAAACATATTGAGTCCTCCTATGTATTTATTAAGTACAGAAAAACACACACTTCCTGCTGCCCACCAATGAAGCTAGCCAGGAAGGAGACACAGAGAAAATTCTAGGATGCATTTCTTGTTTTCATGGGGCAGGGGGGAAGTCAATCACTTCTACAGTTTCTATGGTAACTTAAAACTTGAGCAAGTTGTAGCACAGGATTCTCTCCATGTAAATAAGCCAAGCTCTTCTTGTGTAACGGGCTACAGCACCAGAACAAGAAGCACTGGTTTCACTAACCTGTAATCCCTCTTGCTGACACTGGTATAGCGCACAGTGTCGTCCATGCTGCAGGTGACCAGCTGATCCATTTCATCCACTGCCATTCTAGAAACCTGGTTTGTATGGCCTTTTCCAGAAAAGCCATCGTTCTCTCCAGTTTCGGAATCCCAGTAATGTGCACAAGAGGGTTAAGGAACTTTTAAACATGTTGGTGCAATGTGTTAGCTACACACCTCAAAGTCCAACCCTCTGAAAACGCTGCCCGAGAACCTCGACTGCATTCCAAGTATCTCGTTCCAGAAACCAACAGGACTGGAATTGTTATAGCCCTAACCAAAATACAAATTCTCCTAGGTAGTGAGAAAGCCTGATTGAGATACCAAATAAAAGAACAGAACTACAGTGATGCAGAACTTCAGAAAGCTACTTAAATAGAGGTGGGGATAAAAACATAACTAAGAAAACACTTGTTTGAGTCAGTGTGTGCAGCAAAATATTTACAGTTCTCGTCCTGGAAAATCTAAAAAGTAAATCAATCTGTCTGTTGCAAGTAAGAGCAGCAGCAAGAGACAGCCATACAAAGCTGGCATATAAGGCAGGTACACACGGGCAGTTACAAGAGAATTTATGATACTTCCTCCTCTATGCTAACAAGCAATGCACCACATGCAATGAGAGTTGAAAATTAAGAGTTGGCACATATTTATAACAAGGAGGCAGAGTTAAAGGCAAGCACTATATACAACAGAAAAGTTAGAGGAAAAACAAAACAAACTTTTCCAGACATAAAATACTAATTTGTATCCAGTAAAGTTAGCTTCTTTTTAAGTTAGCATTTTTTAAGACACTCTGTCAATCTAATAGGTTAAAATAAGTATCACTTTACCATTCAAAAGATATTAATATGTCCATCGTTACTTCCAGAGTAAATATAGGACTTTCCACCGTTTTTATGCACTGTGAGACACTGAATTGATTTACTATGACCCTGTGAATAAGACACAATAACTTTTGATAGGCATTTTTTCATTGTTAATACATACATAAATCAAGAGAAAGATTACAGGCAATTCAGAAAATAACATATTATTTTCTCTCTAAACATTAAATGTCACCCAGAATGCAAATTAGTAATTAATGGTCCAGTGATTAAGTTTGCAGCATGGCTATTTCCATGCAGTGCTCCTTAAAAGGAATGAGTAGGCACTGTAAACAACCCTGTTACTGAGCCTGCTGGACCAAGACACTTTCACAGCCTTTTCATCAAGTTTACTGTCCAGACACTTTATGATACAGGGGGAGAGGACTAAATATGGTCATGTAACCACACCAATTACTACATTTAAAGAGGCAATAGCAAGAATCTGGGACATCTATTTCTAGTTCATGTAAAAATGTAAGTTCCCGTGAGAGTGCCGTGTCAGTGACCTCTGTAATTCCCCAAACTAAAGCTCAGCTGTACAGCGACCCTAGTCACCTTGTTCACAGTGTGGTAAAATGAACGAAAAACAGACATTCTTGGTTGTTTTCTATCTATGCTGTATTTCTTCTATCATATCAAAGAATGCTTGAAGCCGCTCACAAAGTTTTATAACTTTAATTGAAGCCAAAATGCACAGTAACTCCACATAACATCTTAACTTTGATTTACGTAACTTTCAAGAGCCAGTCCCACATAGCTGGTTTGGCAATGGAAAGTAATTCAACAAAACTATGTTTTAACAATTACTGTTCCATCTAAACAATTGCAACCACTGAACTGTTTACTGCAGAAGCTGTGGTGCTACAGCAGTTCAACCTACCTTTATGACACGCAAAGGCTTATCTGGATTGTTCTTGTCCAAATAATTGATATAGCCGGAGAGAGAAATACTCAGTAAATGGTCTTTCTGCCACAAGCAACCTAGCTGCTGATCCAAAACATTTGATCCCATGTTGAAAGTACTGACAATAGAATTAGCACCAATGTCCCAGAGTTTAGCAGTTTTATCTCCAGAAGCAGAAAGCAGTTGACTACTATCAGGGCTCCAGCTAATCTGTAAAAAGAAATGTCACCACAAGTCAGTAAACATACATTTATTACCACAATATTTCACAGTCCATGAACTCAGTAATGAAATGAATACTAAGGTTCACTTGTACAAATGAGGCAATACTTACAGCATAAATACCCCCATCATGAGCTTTGCCTCCACCAAGGGCACACACTTTCTCTCCAGTCTTCCCATCATAGACAAAGATCTTAAGAGAGCAAACATACATACTCTTTAAAGAGACTGAAAATGTTACATTACTTTCATTGCGCAGATCACTTTTCTGTTGCACGGTGCAAGATTATCAAACAAGGAAGAAGCAAAAATATTTGTTATTTAACACTAACCCATAGAGATGACAATTGTAAATCACTATCACAATTCTGAATGTGGCATCTGAACACTGGATTCTGACATTTTTGACCCCTGCTGTGATGGCAGGTTGAAAACAGCACTGCAGTCAGGGGGATCTGCCTACTTGTAAGAATCTCCCCACAGCAGAAGTGTTGTTGCCAGCCTGCCCTTATCAGAGTGCTTAGTATTTCTGATAAATTTTTCAGAACTGCAACAAGAACATACATATTCCAAAGGCCTGGTACACTCCTGACAAAATAACCTCTTTGAAAAGTAATACAACAGAGAAGTAGAAGAGAAAAAAGCAGAGTGAGAATAGCCTGACAGACATCACAGCTGTTGCAGCATTACAGAAGGGCACTGAAAGTTGAAGTCAAGCATTTCACAGAATAAAAAGAGAAGCTGCACATTTTACAAAACTGATCCCGCTACAGAGGGGCTTATTTTTATTTACCTGGCCATCTGCACTAGCTGTGGCAAATCTGTTTCCATCTGGAGAAAACTTTACACAGTTCACAAACCGCGTATGGTCCTGTGGGGGTGGAAAAAAAAAAACACATCAACACTCAACCCAAAAGCAGAACTACGTATATTTATCTTCTTACAAGGTAATTAGTGACAGTGAATTTCTCTTGTATTCAAACTGTAAAGTAGCTGTGTGGGAGAGAATGTGGAGAATGCTGCTACTCAACTGCTACAGAGCAAGTCTAGCCTCTAATAGCAGCCTCTAACTGAACAGGATCATGGGACTTGGGAATAGCCCAGGGGAAAAAAAATGTGGGATCCATATTGATGTGGTGCCAAGCTGCTTGAACAGCACAATGGAAATGAATACTACTCCTTAAGGGATGGGGAGTGAAAACTTCAACTGCAGCTGAGATACAAAGACAGGATTCCTCCCCTCCTGTTCAATAATTCTTCTGCATTCTCCAGATTTTGACACTTGAAAACAAGTTTTACGTACAGAAAACTATCTTATCCCCAATATTGTAAAAGCATGGGCATGAAGAATAAACTATTGTTTTATTGGATTTCCACTTTTGAGAATTTCAGTAATGCTAGATCTGTGAAGTAACCAGAGCATGATGTGTGCTCCCTAAATAGAGTATTGACAAATAGGAGACTATTTAAATGATGCTAGCTATAATACCTGTTAAATAGGGAAGCACCACAATGAGGCCAAAGCTCCCATGAAAAGAGATTTGGAGGACTATTTTTAGTATTATGAAAGGCAAGTTCTAACCTACTTTCTTTGATTAAATATAGAATTTTTCTAAGTGATAGCTTAGGCTCTAGTCTAAGCTGTGTAACAGCCTATACATGAAGCCCATACATCAAATCAACTAGCACTGTAAAAGGGAGACGCATACCAGATCAAGCACTCCTGGTAAGCAAATCGGACTTAGCTTAGCAAATGTACGTAGCAAGTTAAGTTCAGAAATATATTTGGCAACTACATCATTTCACTGGATCGCAGGGCTCAAAACAATTCCTTTTCTAGAATGCAAATCGAAGCCTTACTAAATTCAGTGTATAAAATATTCAAGGAACATACTTATTAAAATAAATTCTTACTATGTTTTTAAAACTAAGAGCAAAAGTTTCTGGACTTTATACTGAAATATAACCCAATACTACTGAGTTTTTGAGGCAAAAGACATGTTTTCTGAAATCAGAAAACAGCTGCAGAATGTCTTGGCTTTTTAACTTTCTTTGGCCTCAAGTAACAAAGACTTGAACATTTTAAACGTAGTGCCAAGCTTTGTTTATGTAAGAGATTTAATTAGTACAATAAAAAAACAAAAAATGAAAAGTACCACATAAACATAAAACTGACCACAGAAATTGCATATATACTTCTGGTAGAAATTAGCTGTATTTTCAAACACCTATGCTCACCCTCTCAAAGCTATCTTGGGGATTTCAGATTTGACTCAAACTCTTAAGCAGATTTGACAATTCCATCCACACAACCACATTTCTTGAAGAAAGCACTTTGGATAATATTAAAAAGCTCTAGGCATGTCTGCACTGGGAAGCAGAGCTCAAAGCACAACAATAAGGCCAGTGAAACTTGTTACTTCTAATGTTATAGAAGGGGTGTAAAGAAAAAGTCAGAGCACATCAGGTTTTCTTCCTAACCAATCACTTATTTTGGCTTTGCTGGCTTAAGAGAAGCCTTCAGTTGTACTCAAACATGAATTTAAGGAAGCCGTCTGACATAGACTATGCCTTGAGAGGGGAAGCTAAGAACTTCTGTTACAACAGTGAGTTGTGACAAGAACTGCAAGGTGGTTGTAAAGCTTTTGTCGACTTGCTTGTAGCTTAACAGAAGCTAAACTTAAACTCACACTTATTGTAAACTTGAACTTGAATGGTGGTCCCTCAAAGAAAGCGGCACAGTTGTCATCACTGCCGGTTGCTAGACGATAAGGTCTTGTTTGTTTTATGTCCACACTATTGATCACTTTGTTGTGTCCAGTAATCTCGCCAACAGAAGAACCACTATCCCACAGGAACACTGCTCCAAATCTAGTTAAAGAAGCAGACAATAACTGTAATTCATAAAAGTTAAACGCAGATTAACTCCTTAAGCATCTGCAAAGAGCAGATTTGAGCGCACTCAAAGAAAAGAAATTAGGTCATGTCATTAATCTCATGCAAGTGCATCATTGTTCCCTGAAGGATATTTGAGATTTCGCTGAAGGGAGACATTTGGTGAGGGGACAGGACAAGTTTCATGTGTAAAGCTTCAGACATAAAAGGTTTTTTTTTTTTTTAAAAAAAAAAAAAAAAAAAAAAGTCTGAAAGCTCAGCTTTATAAAGGAAAGCAGTAAGCTGTTCCCACTGTCCAGTCCTATACAAAATGGAGAGTTTGGATAATGATAGTATCAGCTCCACTATCGGATTATTTAGCTTAGACAATATCATCATATTTAGATGAAAGTGTTGTAGGTTTCCATCAGTATTTCACAAGAAAACCAATTAGCTACTATAGTTTTACCTGCCAAGAGGTGAATTGCCACATTGCAACTGTTACAGGAAGACAATTCAATAAATACCAGAAAAGAAGGCCTAAGAAATACTTAAGATTTACCATATGAATCTTAACAAAATATCACATTATTACTGGAAAGTATTAAGGAAAAAGTTTATATAACTAAGTTCCTATGTTAAAATAACTTAAAAAAAATATAATCAATACACCTTGCACTACACTCTCAGAGCACTGAAGTTCAGAGGGACTAAAGTCAAGGCACAACTGCATAACATGAAACTAGCAAGCTTCTTCATGGAGGATAGCAAGTTTATTAGTACCTACTTCTACCCTAACTAAAGGGCAGGTGGAGAGGGAGAAAGGATATAAAAGAGTAACTGATGGACAATGTACAGTACACCAGTTCCTCTATAATAAGAAAATGAAGCACTAGGAAACAAAGACTGTCTCTTGAACAGTAAAAAAAACATAAAAAGTAGGGCAGAGAAAACTTATTTTTAAGACCTTACAGCCTGAGACTATCAGCTCCAGACTTTGACTTAAAAGTATGTCAATTTACCTAACATATTTTTCTCTTAAGGAAAACTCACAAATCTCAGGCTACGTTAGGTATTTCATTTAGACACGGATACTTGGTTGAGATTTTTTTAATTAGTAGAATAAAATCCCCCCTCTAAAAGTCAAACTAAAGCTCCACATTTTTGAACTAATTCAAATAAAATTGTCTTTGCTCAGTATATAAGCCACTCATTCTACTGTTGTCAAATACTGCATAAAAAAATCTGCTGCTGAGCAGCATATCTTGAAGTCTAAACAAGGAACAAATCATGACTTTATTTCTTTGAAGAACTAAAAGCTTCTGCATCAAAGAACTTGCTTTGTTAGTATACAAAAGTTTGCAGCACATAGAAGAATTACTCACTTTTCCCTTCCTTCTCCAACCACAGCTATTCTCTTGCTGTCTTCAGTCCATGCAAGATCCTTTATTTTTCCTGCAAATGGCTGATACTCATACTTCAGTATGTGCTCCTTCTGCGTAGTATCCCAGATTCTCAGCTTTCCAGAGACATCTGCCATAACATAATGGAACATAACTATTGTTGTTCCAGCATGACTCAGTCATATGACTCATCAATTTGTCAGGATAAAAAATTTCATCTACTCAGAACACTTATACTAGGATATACAATCTTACTCTACTACAACGACTGCAAATCACTTGATTTAGGAATGCTGAAGACCACGTCCAATTCACTGAGACACGGTATTTTTTAAAAAGAGATATTAAAATGTGCAGCAATAAATGCAACAATCAACTTTTTGAACAGACATGCAAAAAATGCATACTGAGAGGGTAGGAACTCACACGTTATCTTCTGGTCTCTAAGTGGTCACACGCACACACGCTCACCAAAACAAGAGCAGAAAACTCTCTCCAAATTACAAAATAGTTTATCCACAAATCACTGGAAAGTGGCCTACCCTACGCCTAGAAGAAAGAGAACAGTGGACAGTAGCTAATGTACTAAAACTCATATTTCAGCTTTTTTGCACCCTTGGAGCAAGTCTGCTTTGCATACAGGTATCAGTTCTCTGTATATCTGTGAACAGATTTCTGCCCATAGTACTGGTATTCTAATCTTTCTCTTTCCTATCTGAAGCGTGTATGCACTTAATTGTGCGAGTATATGCAGTATCTGGGTTACTACAAAGGAAGCAAACAGAATATTCAAACATAGTAATGTTACAAGCAGCAGACACAGCATAGATCATAACTGAAGATGTAATACAATTGAAGTTTCTTTGGACATTGTTCCCCACAGTATTACAGGGACCTAGGGCTTGCTTCTTTTTACAGGAAATACTGTGGTGCAGCACTGTAAATAGAGGAGTTGTTCCAGACACAGTCAAGTTTATGCTTTCATAATGAAACTCACATAGCAGATTATATGTATTAGAACCTTCAAACAAAAGCTACTGTTTAACAGTAAAACACATATTAAAAGGTGCCATTCAGCTCAGCGGAACACTTGATTCTATGATCCACCATTTATCAGTACATCTTAATAACCCAGTTTAAACTTAAGGCACCCCCATGCTTATCTTCTCCGCTTCTGACAAAAGGACAGATTCAGAATTCTCTAATTTCTAATTGAAATTAAATTTTAACTTGGACTTCAAAAATCCAATTGTTGTGGTCTATCTCTGATAGGACACACAGAGCTTTCACCTCACATTATATCCAATTATTACACTTGTTAATGACTGCAGTATAGGAAAAATTACCATAAAAGTCATGGAACATTTTGCCAAGGGACTATCCAATCAAGTATATCAAGTAATAAAGCAGATTACGTCTAGCTCAAACTTGGTTAAGGATACAGATAAATCTTATGTTACACTTAGAACAGCATAAACAGCCTAATATTGCCTTCGCACTCATGCTCAGCATGAGACTTTATGACTGATACAGAAGACAGCTTAAGGGAAATACTGCAGCCTAAGCTTCCTTATTTGGATAGGCGAGAACTTCTGAAGAGGAAAAAAAAAAAAGTCACCTGAATACTTCCCTAAAATGAAGGATATTCTTTAACTAGATGACTACTGAAAAGCATCTTCCAATGGGGACTGGGTATACACTACTATACTACAGTTCTTCTACAGAAGAATGAAAATTTACAAGGTTTCAAGAAAACAAACAAACAAAAAAAAACAACTGATGGCTATATTAAGGGATCAATGAAGCAAAAATCTAAAGCACCAAATCTGAAGAACAAAGAACATATTACACTGACATATGGACCACGCACAAGACTGAGCCAAGGATTTTCTTGGCTTTAGTTCCTTGGGCGGGAAGGCTGTGCTAAAAAACGGCCTTAAAGGTTTCTCAGTACTCAACAGCTACAAATATAGCTTTTAGGTATGCAACTATTTCTGCGAATTATCCAAAGGAAACCACAGAAAAGCCATGCTACCCATTCTCAGTCTATGGATTCACATACATTACACAAAGTTAAGGGTAAGTGTCTTTCCCATGCTAACTTACCAGAGAAAGCCTTCAATTTGGGTTCAACAGTAAGAAAAAAATATACCAAATCTTGCCAAGCTCTGCCAGTAAGAAATGAGGAGGGAAAGGAAAGGGCTCTACTAGAATTACTCCACCCAAAAGCATCAAGCTTACGTACACACCAAAGCAACTGTCTTATATTTCAGAAATAATGTTTCATTCTGCTGCATGTAAAAAAGCAACTCATTAAGATTTGTCCTCTAACTCTAAACAGACTAAGCATTTGAAGTTCATTTTCAAATTCTCTTTCATTTAATATCATTTTTAAGAAAACAACCATGTCCCTGAACTCACTGCTTTAGAAAGAGTCTAGAAGTACTTGAAAATGGGTACTAAAATTAGTTCTTCTCCATATGCACACAGAATTACATTAAAGTGGGTCACACTGTTGCGCAAAATATATGTAGCCAATGTGGAGCACTGCTTCACTACACTAGTAAGTTCTCCGTTAAGCACTTTAACAGCTCTGTCCATACAGCACATGCAACATGCACAGATACGTTACCTCCAGATGCTATGTAAAATCCACTGGGAGCATACTTGGCAACTACAACCTGATGGGCATGCTCAGTGTAGATGTCAGCAATTGCAGGATTCTAGTTTAAAGGAGAAAAACAAAAAGAGTTACTAAGTAGCACTTCTCATTTTCCACAGGAGTTAAACAAGATGTCCCAAGATAAAACTGTTTTTTCCCCTGCATTCCTTCCCTCCATCTTGTATTTTAAACTGAAAAAATGGCTAAAACGAGAGAAAAAGCACAGAGCACACTGCACAAAATTACTGTGTGCTATGACTAAAACACTGTAATTTCTAACAACCGCTACAATTGCAAGCACTTCCTCTGCTATTTCCTTCTTCAGAATCTGCTGACCCATGAAGAATCCAAAACAAAGTGACTTTATCTCTCTAATAGGGCTGGCCAGGTAAAACAATTATCTAGGTAGAAAACTTAATATACTCTGTGCTTTGCAGCACACATCCAAAAGTCCTACTACAGTTAAGCACAACATATTGCACGCAAGTTACTCACTGATAACTACTCAATATCACTCAGTAACTAATGAGGTGTGAAAGACCTGCTCTTTCCTGCCTGAAATCCTGCAAAAAAGAAGTTTTCCTCAGCATGAATAGTTGTACCGAAATAACAAAATAAATGAATCATTCACTGCTGCTCTATCACAATTCCTTCTTTTTAGTCTTAAAGATGTTTTCAGATGCTCCAGGTTTCATAGTTAAGGTGATCTGGTGTCTCAGTAGTAAGGGTTACACTACTGACATGCCAAATCAAAAGCATGACATCAAGACACAGACTTCTTCTGATACTTGCCCTCAAATTAAAAGCTATATAAAAGCTCCACACTGCACATCCTCCAGGTACAGCAATACAGTACATCAGTACACTAGCAGATCAGCACTACCTTATTCTATTTTGGGGAACCTTTTTTATGCCAGCTAAAAGGTATTTTTCAATTTCAGAAACTAGACTCGCATGGGCAGAGAAAGAGTCCATTTTAATAGCTACAATTAATCTACATTTATTCAACTATATCAGAAAATCACCTGGTGTTATGGTGTGATTGAGCTATCCAATCAGGAAAAACTAAACCACCTGCTCTGTTTCAGGAAGCTGTTTTAGGAAGCAGACACTCTCTTACTCTTAGAGTACAGTAAATCTCAGGAGAGAGAATACAGCTTTCTCATGTAAGCAGCAGCCTTTTCCATTTCTGCTACAGTGGACTTTTTACGTTGTTTGAGTGCATTAAAACCCTGCTTAAGTCACACGTCTGCATTTACAGCATCCACATGTCACTCCATTTTGTGTTACTGGATTCCATCTATGTTTGCATTTACAGCACCCACATGTCACTCTCCATTTTGTGTTACTGGATTCCATCTAAGCAAGCCAAGAAAGTGTTTTCCCTATACTGTAGTTACATCAGCTACAGCATTTCAGGGGGCTCAGAAAACCGGATTTTGTTAAAAATGATATACATAAGCAATTGGTGCTTGATAGAAAGAACTTCCAAGAAACCTTGAAGCTAAGTAGCTATGAGATTGGACTTACAGACTGAATTAAGGAAAGCTTGGAGGATGGAGGAGGATAAAATTCAGGCTTCTAAGCTCTAGACATGATTAATATGATTAAGAGCTTTTTTTTTTTTGATAGAAACAAATAGAGTTGTAACTGTTTGTTATTTGATAATATTTCTATTTGTAGGCTGAATTTTCTAATTTTTATGTCTTTCATAGCCAAAAAAGGGCATTTCTAAGAAGATTTAAACAGAGAATTCTATTAACTGGGACAAATGCTGTACTAACACTATCTACTGTTATTTTTTTGAAGGGAGTAAAGTCAGGGATAGGCTCAACGGAAGAGCTTATGCAGCTTATTTTGAACACTGAAACTAGAGCCACTTAAGAAATTGAGTAGTTCATGGGTCCAAGCTTACTTTGAAGCTTAGAACTTAAAAGAAGATACAATATTAATGAGGCATGAAACCCTACAAATATCATTAGTCCTTCTTTCTTACAGTGCTTTTCCAGCACTTTTTCTACTTAAGGTCTCCAGCTCACATTTAAAAAAAAAAAAAAAAAAAAAAAAAAAAAAAAAAAAAACAAAACCCCCCAAACACACCCCTTTACTCAGCACCATAGCCGAGCTGTTGCTACAGCTTCAGAAGCTTTACAGAGCTGATCACTACATTTTAATGATAGAAACAAACAACAAATAAGGCCTAATTAAAGCACAACTATTCCAGCTGACACTGAGAAAACCATTTGTAGAGGCACTCTTAAGTATTTCATTTGGTTGCTACAAGCAATTTATTCGGTTATTCTAAGCCATTCCATACCTTCAATGGAGGCATATTTCTCAGTTAGCGGACACATTTCCCTGCAGGTTTAGGCACAAACCACATCATTTTCTGACACAAAAGCCATACTGTCCTCTTGGACAGTTTCTGGGTCACTGCTACAAAACACTCCATAGTAGTTTGGGGAACCTTGTCTGACAATCATTAATGTTAACAGTGCCTCCTTATTTGCCAGTTCAAGTAAACTTAGATAACAGCAGAAATTACACCATAAAATTGAAGGTTGTGTGACCTGTGTTCTCCACTTCCATTGAGAGTAGGATCTGGTCAAAACTGGGGAAGCTTCCACAGTCCTACCTTTCCTGTATTCAGACCTTGCCATGAGCTCTACCTGGTTTTCAAAAGGACTATCATTTGCACTGTAAGCTGATTCAGGAAGCCCAAAGAAATGTTGTTTTCTTGTTTACCCACAAAATAAGGTTGTATGAACACCAATTACAGTGCAAGGAAGGAGGTCACTACACAATTGGGAAATAAGTTGTGCTGTACACAGACTGGCTTTTCTTCTTTCCTCTCACTGGGTGCCATTATTGAGATTTTCAGTTTCAGAAAATTGAACTTTTCTTGATATCAACAGTGAAACTTTATTATATTGAGACATTAATAACAAAAACAAACTTCTACTTTAAGTGAAAAGTATCTGATACCAATCACAAAACTTAAAGAGAAATTAAGTGTTTAGCAGCATTTCTATATTATGCCATGACAATGAAATAAAACATTTGCATAAAGCAAGGAATCAGGAAAACTCTTGTAAAAATTCAATTTACAAAGTTGTTTTACAGTCATAAACACATTGCTGTGGAGACCCGAAAATTCCAGAGGCGTTATGCATGATCTGTCCCACTGAAAGCCAAAGTTAAAGGATAAGGAGGAAAGCAAGTCCTGGAGTTTGACTTTTGCAGAGTATAGGCATTTGTTCTGAAGGAAACAGTGATTTTTTTTTTGAAAACCAATACTAAGAAAATAGCATATGTACATATACATGTAATGCTTCCTCTCTCCTTTTTCAAAGTGAAGTCATCTTTGAAATAGTAATTTAAATAACACACTTCGATGGCAAGTTCTTCTGTGGTAATAAAAAGTGTGAAAATATTACAAGTGATTTCTAACATTTAATCCATGGGAAGTTCTCTGATGATGGTTGAGAATGCTATATGCACAGACTGCCAGAGTCAAGCAACTTGCAACTGTTTTGATTCCTGGAGTGCAGTGAGAAAATAAGTAAGTAAACAAGCAGCTATGAAGCAATAAACTTAAGCACAGCACTTGTGAAAAAGGCCCAGTAGAGCAAAAAGGGCAGGTTCCACTCATTATACAGATCACCTCTCAACTTCATAGAAGAATTACAATAAGCAGGGCCAACCAGGACCAGTCTCTGCAAATTCTGCATGATGACAGCAGGAGAACTACATATTTTGCAGAGATTTTCTACAGGTTTCTACAGTCACTGTCCATATCTTTACGCCTGAGTCATGCAGCCTTCCTCTTCCTGTCCTGCTCCTAGTAGATCTGTGACCTCAAACGAATTTGCTGAACGGGACTAAGGCACCGGCTCTTACAGGAGAGGGGCTGCAGAGCAGAATGAATCTTAGCCAAACAAACCACATGAGGAAATAAAAATGAAAATCGGGATACGTTACATCAATGTTCCTGATGATGACACATTTTCCATTAGTGTAGAGAAAATTATTGCCCTTAGGATCACCTCCAATAATTTTGGAAACACCTCTCTCCACCTGTGGGAGGCTGGCAAACACTTTTTCTATGGAAAAAGGGAGGAGAAAAAAAAAAGAGAGAGAAAGAGAGAAAAAAATAAAAAAGGTTTTATGGTTTTATTCGCCGTCGTTAACACGCGCCTCTCCGGCCCAGCAGCCGCGAGCACTTGTTGCTGTCAGGGGGCCGAGAAGGAAG